GGAGAGACAAAATTCTGAGATGAGGAAAGCAATCGAGTTGTTAACTTTTAAACTTTTTCCTTCCCCGATTTTTTAATTGAAAATTAAATAGTATCTACTGTTGAAAAATCATAAAGCTGGGCCTGCTAATGTGATTTCCTTCCTCAAACTGAAGACTAGTTCAGCAAAAAAAAAAACATGCATATTAACATGGTTTTCTAATATGATGAAATTTTACAATGTTTTTTTTTTGAAGCTTATCGAAGTCCGTGTCTAGTTTTAAATTTAAGTGTTAGTATTAGCTTACGCTTTTATAGTTTTTCATTTCTTTCATATTGTTATTCTTTTTTATAATTCTATATAACTATTTTGGCGCTCTCACATACTTTTCCATTTCCTTGCACAATTTCTAACATTTTCTAATTTTTCCATTCATTTTTTAATAGTATGTTTTTTACTTTCACCTATCAACACAAATACATGATTCAATTATTAAAGGTTTTGTAAGTAGCTTTTTTCTAAAATTTGGCACTCCCACCCACAGGGATGGTTTATGGAAGCAGGAGAAAAAGGGGAAGAATTCAATCACACTTCCTAAAATGGGAGCTAAATTCCATAAAAAGGTGTGGATAATAGTGAATGGTGGTATTTTAAAACAAAAGCGAATTTGATTTAATTATTTAATTTAAACAAGCTTATTTACATCGAANCAAATATACATTTCAAAAAAAAAACAATGCATGAAAGAAATTTAATTTTTCTCTCTTTATTGTTTTGCCTATTTTTTTTTGTCCTATTTCATCATCTATATTCATTTTTTTACAACTAGCTTCCGTTTCTGTTAGTCACTGCTGCTATTTTTTTTTGATGAAAATGTATTTTACAGGGGCCTTAACGGTTATCAAATTTTGAACTAAATCGTTAGGAATAGATTTCTATTGTTTCGATCAATTTTAACCGTTATTTTATAATTTTTATATCTTCGATAAAGAATAACTGTAATTTTTAGACTTTTGTTGTTTCGATAAATTTGTGTTAGTAATTTTACATTTTTTTTTCAATCATATTATAACCGTCGTGTTCAGATTTAATTTTTTTTACTGTGTGCCATAAAAACGGTTAACAATAAGCAAAAAATTGAAAATCGCAAAATAACAAATAAATTTTTCTAAAAAAAAAAATAAAAATCCAAATTTAACGATTATTCTTGATCGTAAAAATAAGCATTTTGGAATAATCTAAAAATTAGGCTTGGTATTAAGCGATTATTTTTTGCCCCTCATATATAAACTAAGCCATTCAGTTTCTTCTCCAACTTTCCCTTTCAGCGACCGATTTCCTTGTGGGATATTTTCGGTGGCTGTCAACAGATTTAGACAGTTTGAGTGCCTTAGTTGGCTGTTAGGACGCAACCTGCTGCATTTTTATCCTTGAAAAAAGTTGGACATTAGCGTTGTGAATATCGCATATTTAGAAAATCTCGGACTTTTGTTTTCAGCGCCGGCTGTAGAATTATGCGCCAAACAACTTTACAGTTTTGGTGACTGCTTTAACTAGTTTATTATTTAGTATTTTACATTTTGTTTTTTTTTTTTATATATTGTTGTAATTTAATTTCCTTTTTGTTTCTTTTTTCTCGACTATTGCCACATTTCGTTTAGTTTTATGAGCTGCTGTGTTTAATGATTTTTGTTCTATGCTTTTTTACTATTTTTTGTTTTGTATTTTTTTGTGTGATTGTTTCTTTTTTTTGTTTATACATATGGATTTTAAACTTTCTTTTATTTAGTTACTAGCACTTTGTGTTTTTTTATTATTGGATTTGTTTTTGTTATATTAGTTGTTATGGTACGTAAGTTTAAAGTAAATTCTTTTTCCATGAAATTTTTATTTATTTTTTTTTGCTTCGTACTTTTTTGTTTTCAATTCCAGCACTTCAGCGCAAAACCTTTGAAATCGTTGCTCGTTTGGCCAGCAGCTGCTAGAAATGTTGTTTGTTGATTTTGGAATTTGCTTAGTTTCTCCCCTAGTTCTTTTAGTTCTTTTTTACATGCATTTAGCTAGTTCGATTTTTTACAAAATTCATTTTTTTTTTCTTAAAATAGGTACTAATTTACAAAACTGCTTTAAAAAGCCAAATTTTATTTTTGGCCTTTTTTTAATTTTATAAATTAAGGTATTATTTCTTCTCATAATTCTGTTTGCAACTTATTTTTACGCGCGAAAAGATAAAGGTAAACAATCAAATTTAAATTAACAAATTTACACACATTTTGCAATTAAGGAATTTCTCGGATTTAGTACACATGCATATACATATATATATATATTATAGAGAACAATATTTTATAACATAACGTATATTAAAACTATTTTGTGATACTCTGTTAGACTTGGTATTTTAAAGTTTTTAATAGCCAAATTCATAAAAAATTCAAATGACCTACTTTGATCGATCTTTTTTACAAGCAGCAGTTATATTTTTTTGAAAATTTTATGAAAAGGGCCACTAATTTTTATATTACACTTAAAACGAAAACAACTAATTTTTTTCAATGAATTTTCAATAAAATATCGTTACTTAAACGTGACAAGGCGCCAAATCCTTTTTTTTTTTGAAATTGTTTAGGAGAGACGAAAAATCGATGTAGTTTTGAAAAAAGTGGACTTGACACCTTTTCACCTTTAGGTAGCGATATTGTTTTCTTTTATAAACGATATTAGATATAAAGCACAGTTAGTTGCCTTATCATCAATAAATTTTCCCACTTTTCTTATTATTGTTATTTTTTATTTTTTATTTTTTATTTTTTTTCAACGCCCTCAACGCCCCAGTCTGACGCGGAAAATTCCAAATTAAGTGTAAAATTTTATCAATTAAATCAACAAGTTACATATACATACATATGTTTCTGTGTGAGTGGGTCTATGTAAATATGTATATGTATGTAGTATACTGTATGTCTAAGTAAATAAGTATAAGTGTATGTATGTAAATATATGTAGTTATTATTGCATTTTTGCTTGGAAATAAAGCATCTGCAGCCACTTTTGCCTGGCAAAATCCTGTACTATGCTAGAAACCTATACGAAGCGGCGAGGCACAGTGCCGCAGTGTGGGCGAAATTTCGGCTAAAATCCAAAAAACTTATTTTTGCAATCGCGAGAAATTTAAGGACATTTTAAAAGCTTATGTAACCAGAGATAAGCAGCTGAGGAGTACAAAAGCGAGCAATGCAAATTTTTTTAAAATCTAAATGAATGTTTTTTAGCAAAAAAAATATACTGCAAATTGATTAAAACTGAAAATCATCCACCAAAAAAGTGTTGAAAAATATTTTTGAAATCGATATTTCAGCACTCAAAGCAGCCGCCTTTTGGCAACTCGAGTTTTCATCGACCTTTCACAGACTTTAGCCGCAATCATATAACAATTTCAACCTCAATATAACTATGAACAGTTTTCCTTCGCCGCTGCGACGCTCATTGCCTTCATTTCTCTTTTCAACTTAACTTTCGCTGCTTCTAATTTCCTTACCCTGCCCCTATTCCTATCCCTGTTTTTTGCCTAACCTCGTTCTTCCGCCTCGTTTAATTCCATTCCGTTTGCACTCTATTTATTTCTGCTCGACTTTATGACTCGTCTCGATTGTTATGCACCCAACTGGCTGGCACCCATTGTGGTTCGCGTTCCAATGAATTAATCTCGGCCAGCAGCTGTTGATATGCCCGATCTGTGTCGTTGTTTATGATTATCATGTCAAAGAGATGACCCCAGCGCGCCTCCATGTCGCGTGCAGTGGCTATAATGTCTTTGAGTTCCTCCTCCTGAAAGAGATACGAGATTATTCAATAATGATAGTCAAAAGATGGTGATGAGTTTGTAAGCTACGATCGACTCAGTGCAAAACAAAATAATAAAGTGAATTTTATCAATGCAAATCTACGAGCCAGGGAAAGAGTTTTTAGTTAGTTTTTCATATCTAAAAAACATTTAATATGTCGTCAAAAGAAGGTGAAAAATGAACCCTAATAACGTCTGTCCCTTGGCCGGGACCTAACGTAAGGCTTTCGATGGCTGACGAATTGGCGAGGAAGGGAACTTAAGAAACGTTATCGTCGGATAAAGAGCGGCTGGGAGTGTCATTGATCACTTTTGACACACTTTTGGATAGATGGGCCTCATGTCAGCTCAGCGACCGCTGGGCGAAAACCAGGACATGCGCGATCGCATTGGTCCTTTTGGTCAAGGGCGGGCGAGGGCGGTAGAGGGCACTCCTCACACTTACAAAGCCGCAGCTCTCACTTTTGGTGGGGGTTTTAACGGGTCACTGTCCAATCGATATTCACGCAGTAAGGCTAAGCATACTACCGGACCCCGTATGTCCCAGTTGTCTGGAATATGACGAGGGTGGAATCACTATTTATAAGACGGCAGAACTCCACATCAAGCCCTTTAGGCGTATTGCTTTCAGCTCCCACGCCGGAATTTATATATTACAGCTAAATAAAGTGCTGGAAGCCTGAAAATTGATGAACGCCTAAACAGGCTTTTGTGGAGTTCTATTCTAAGGCAAATACTGGGACCTCAGACTGCTAGATCATCGCAACTTGGATCTTTAATTCTTCAACTTGTCGAAGAGATGTTGTGGTACTGATTTGCATCTCAAAAGAAATAATTTTCTTCCACTCACCTTGAACGGTTCGCCATTTCGGATTTTCTTCTGCCGCAGTTTATCGAGACTCGGTGGCGCCACCAGCACCACATACGGCTTCAAATCGGAGGCGCGCAACAATTTCAAACTCTGTGGATGGAGGTTCAGTACACAGATTTTACCGCTCGCCACCACTGTACGTATGGCCTCCAGCGAGGTGCCTGCAATGATGGAGGAAATTCGAAGAGTTGAGAGGATATGCAAGGATATGTGAAAATTGCAATTTACTTAATTCGTTTAAAAAATAGGATATGAAAAGCACTCACACATGCAACACACAGAGTGAGCATGTATGTGTATGTATGTACATATGTACTTTTAAATTACTCACCATAGTAAGCCTTCTCGTATTCGCCATGTTCGACGAAGCGGCGCGCCAGTATGTCCGCCTCAAAGGCTTGGCGCGTGATGAAGTGATAATCAACGCCGGGTACTTCACCTTCGCGGCGCGCACGTGATGTGTCTGCGGGGCAAAGAAGGTGAAAAGAAGAGGCAAGAGGAGACAGCAGAGGTAAATAAAAAATAAAGTATGTATGTATGACCGCAAGTTAGAGTGAGTGAGAATAAATGAGTAAATTAAGGGGAGGTGGAGGTGGTGTGGAACTGAAGTAGTTGCAGGTAAGC